TCTGCATGTCCCACATGAGTAAGTATCCCATACATTAGTCTTATACAGTCTTAGCAGAGGGAGCCCTTATACTGACTGAGAAAACTTTTCCAAGAGCCAAGTATAAGGGACATCAAAGTCAGATTTAAATTGATTTAAAGAAAATAAGACTTGATATTCATGAGAAAGTTAATCCTGCCACAATGGTAACAGGATTGAAGATACAGCTTAAAGAAAAGTAATTTGGCCATAGTCACACAACTATTAAATTTTAGGACTGGGATCTAAATCCTAGATTTTGTAGCTTTTAAGCAACTCCCCTTTCAATTTTCACAACAATACTCTGTCTGCTTTAGCTATCATGCCAATCAAAAGTAGGATACTCAGAAAAACGTTCCAAATATAGACAACTCAAGACATATGGGAAGCAGCAGCGCCAGCAGGCCAATGCCAAGGAACATCTCCAGATAAGAAGGATTGGGGATGCATTATTCACCAGGACGAGCTCTTACCAGGCATAGAAATGCTCTGCCCTCAGTGCACCACCAGCAAGATATTTCAGAGGAGGGGTAAAAGCCTAGAGTTTGAGTCAGTCAATCCCCAATTTTAACCACAGTTCTGCCACTTTAGTGTTGTGTGGCTGGGTCCTTCTCATCTGACCTTTCTTATGTTCTCTGATGTGGGCTAAAGCCAGGCCATGCTATCTGAGGAGGCTTCCAGAACGTGAAACTCAACCCCATTCACCCTTTCCACAAAAGTTCTGGAGGCTGTGTGGTCCTAGACAGCTATCATTGCAGCATCTATCCAGGTATCTCAGGCCCCAGACCTCCCAAGACCAACCCCAAACAGAGCTCTTTGGCAAAACTCAGAAGGAAAGGACATGGAGTTTGGGCCCAGAAGTGGGTAACGTGAAACTCGGTGGAGACCCGAAAGGGGAACAAGTAGGGCTTCCCTTGCCTAACATTCTGAAAGATATCTTCGGCATTGCAGTTCCCTGGAGCAACCTAATAAAGTCTCTGTAAAGGAATCTGGCTCCACACACAGGCTGCCTATTGATTTCATCAGTCATCCTTTAAAAGCCCCAGTGAAGGGTGAGAAGGAAAGCAAAGCAGAGCTGTGTTTAAACAGTGGGAAAACTCAGATCCAAAAAATCTAAAGCTGGAATTTTCAGTCCTCTAAACCGAGATAAGGATCAGAATGTAAGAGAGGCAATCAGTTATGGCATTGATGCAAAAGTAAAGCTCACAAAAAGCGGAAAGAGAAGAAAGGAAACAGGAAATCACTGACAAAGGCAAGAAGACAGTGTTTAACAAAGCAGTATTTTCTTAATCCTTTAGGAAAATATCCTGTACCTTCCCCTTCAATGTCCGTATCTACTTCAAATCTTAAAACATTACAGACATCCAATTCCAGCCACTGACTTTCATTATTTTTTATTTATTCAAAATATATGTCTGCATATTAGTTTTAGGCCCTGTGCTAGAATTGTAGAAAAAAAATGTGATAAAAATAGACAGTCATCCCCTCAAAATGCAACTGAGATGGGGATTAGTCAAATAATTACTTTTATTAATAATTAAAACTGATATAGGGCTGGGGATTTAGCTCAGTGGTTCCATCGCTTGCCTCACAAGCTAAGGACCCGAGTTCAATCCCC